TTTAACAAAATATCTTTTTTAGGTAATATTACATTTTTAGATGTATGTAAGTGTACAGTAGGTGAGCAAAATATTGGGAACAGTACTCATATTTGTGTAATTTCATGTTTAACTAGTTTTTTCAGCAAAGGATTTGTAGTATTACTGTTTCCTCTCCTGTTGTGTTTCATAAGTGGCAACATTGGTCGCCTGCGTTATTTAGAAAATAAGTAAAATGTTAATTTCACCGAGTTGAAAGTAATTGAAAACTGTTACAGTAACGAAGACATACAAATTATTTTTAATTGGTTTTTGCGAAAAATAATGAAAACTTAAGTCTTGTTCTTAAAGTAATGCACAAGCATTACTTTCACTACGGAATTTCATTTCAGTTTACAATGTAACCTCACAACTTCAAGGTGTTCTTCCCCCAATCTTCCCTAAAATCGTAAAAAGTGTGTTTCCCATCTGGTTACGATGATAATCATCGAGTTAGTAACAGTTTCCAAAAGGACAGACCGGAGACGGTTAGTATAAGAGAGACTGTCACTCTATACAAAAATATCTCACCCAGGCCACAAAGAAGAAGCGACTGCAATGGGCCAGGCAACACTGAAACATAACTATTGCAGACTGGAGTAGAGTAATACAATATTTTTATACATTTAAAGCACTAATGCATTTAACCAAAAATAATTTTTTGTGATATTTTACAGGTATGCTTCTCTGATGAATCAACGTTTCAGATTTTGGTTGACTAAAGTTCGTTTGTCCGACAACGCTCTGGGAAACGGTGCCATCCATACTACCTAGTGGAAAGGGTTAAACACCTGATTAGTGTCATGGTGTTATCTATGAGATCAGCGAAGTATATTTAGGACGCAACTACACCGTAAAAAGATCGATGATGCAAATTCAATATAAGCATGTACCAGAAACTCTGCAACTGACATAGCTCGAAACTTAAAGACATGGGATTAAGCCCTGATAAATTAAGAACCCACTTTTATGCACTATTCTGCACGGTGTCACAAAGTCTGGAATATTACTGGCAGAAAAGATTACAGTTTTGCCCTAGCCGGGGAATTCACCAGACATGAACCTCATTGATTGCTGATCTCCACGCAACTGATCACCATCAAGACCCAGTTAATTGAAATTCTCAACAAAGAATGGCATCACAACATTCAACTGAAACAACAAAAATTGCAAACTCCTGTCTAAAGATCTTGCCGCGATGCATTGCAGCTATAATTGCATCAAAGGTTGACGTCACTAAATATTAATATTAATTTTACCTAAATACCTTATTATCTTTATGATTTTAGTGATACATTTTTATCAATAAAAGTAACTACGAAACCAAAAACCATTAATTTGTTTTAAAAATGTAGTTAAACTCTAAAACACAAAAATTGGAGATTGGTTCTTGATAATTTTGCCACCTACAGTAAGTATGTGTAAGAAAAGTATGATAGAACAAGGAAGAGGAAGGAAAGATCTTGCGCGGTCCATGTCTTGCTTGACAGAGCACTGCTCTAACGTTTGCCTGGCGTTGATCCGAGAAACCCCGGAAAAATGCTGATAAGCGCAGCCAGTCGCTAGAAGTCTCCTCCAGAGAGCGGCTGAAAGCGATTACGCTCTCTAGCTAGTGTCGAAAACCCTGCCACCGTCGGGATTTGAACCCTTGGTCCTCTTGCAGAGACATCAAGTGATGCTCTTAGATACCTGAGCCGTTTTTTTTTTCAGCTTGGAGCAATTTCCGTTTTTAAACAATGATTTTCGAAGGTCCAACCAGCAAACATTATTTTCCTTATTCATAAAAACAACCATAAGGGAATCCTATAATTTAATTTCGCGCGTGGAGAGGTTACACCATATTGCCTGGAGTGTGAGCAATCCTAGCTGCGCGACGCACCCGCGTGGTGGAACAGCAGCAGGACGTCGTTGGCCGCGTGGAGCGCTGGCGTCGCCGCGTGCGTGGAAGCGGCCGGCGCGGGCTGCCCCGTCGCCAGCACGTACACGCCGGCCGCGCGGCGCTGCAGGCTGAGCAGAACGGCGTCCGCGACAGCCGGCGCCGTCCCCGCAGCCACCACCGCCACCGGACCCGCCGCGTCTGCACCCTGCCACTGGGCGGGGGGGGGGCGATTTTCCGAGAACTGGATCTTGTCTCGCGAGGTGAAACAAGGGTTTTACTTACTAGGCTTCCGCAGATGGAGTCGACACACAGCTTCTTAACTATTTTTGACCTTGTATACGTAAGCTTCCGCGGCTCGAATCCATGAATTCTCGGCTATCCGGGAGACGCCGCGCCGTTGGCACCCCAGCCAACGACTCCCGGATAGCCGAGAATTTATTTTTGACCTTGATTAAAAAGTAAATTCATTAGCCGCTTGGCTGTTCGGAAGACGCCGCGTTCTAGGCACACATGCCAACTTTTCGGTCACCATTCGGCAACCTTCCTCAGGGTGAAATGTTGGCGCCTGTGCCTAGTACGCGGCGTCTAACGGATAGTCAAACAGAAAATGATTTTACTTTTTATTCAACGTCAAAAATAGTTAAAAATTATGTGTCTAACTATGGGGAGACGTGCAATCAACGCACGTTTTCTTGAGTTCTGGGATCTCTACTACTAAGCAAATCGTGTGTGAAATACTGCTTCAACCCAAATCTTAGAGTAATCTGTTCTGCAAGCATTCAAGGGTTGCACGGTAAGGTTGTAATAAGGCATAACGAGCGTCTTTTTAAATATTCGTTTCTATTGGATGAAAACGATATGCAAAGACAGATAAGCTTCAGATTTTAGCTACTATTCCTTGTCATGCTTTTCGTGGCGGAATCGATTTACTGCCGCGTGAACATGACTATTTGAATATTTTCCTCTGAGCTCAAGAAAATGTGTTCAGGTAGTGAAGAAACATTTATGTCCAGAATAAAAACATGGCGCCATATCAGCATTTACTATAGGTATTAGGAAAACTGGTCCTGAAAGTGGAAAAATCTGATCGCGATTCACACACAAGCTGAGGTGCAATATGTGGTACATGCAAATGAGTCAATTACTTCCTTATGTTGTGTAGTCCGTATGCGTGTGTTGTGCTTTCTTGATACCGAAACATTCATTGAAGACAAAACGTCTATCTGTCCATTCGAAGAAGCGGCTTTTAAATGTGAATATTTCAAGAAGTTGGTAATAAGAAATTTGATGTTTTTACGTATCAATGATTCTCCATGTGAAGTGGTACCATTTATATTAATTTAACAAGAATTACGAAGACTAGTCTACTTAACAAAGCCCTTGGTGGCTCGTTGGTGAGTTGGTTGCTTGCTTTTCAGGGCGTAATCTCGGATTCGATTCCCGTCCAGCGAAAAATTATAACTGCGCGCTTTCCTTCCAAATGTTCCAAAGGTTGAGAAGACCGGTGGGCAGCGGAGATATGCCTTCATGCTAACTACACAAACCCATTATTACATGTCCGAGAGGCCTGCAATATACACGAATTTTCCACAGCACTGAAAATTATTTACATCGCAATGTAAATGACTTCTATATTTTACGATATCTTTGATGTTAATTATACTTTTCTTAGTGTGTTTTACGCCTTGAATGATCCTCCTATCTCCCAATTTGTGTGGCAACCTCTTCAATGGCATTATTTCAACAAGTTCTAGAGGGCAGATTTATGTGCATTTAAAATCGTGAAAATATGCATGAATTTATGGACGTAAAATTTGCACCCAAAAACTGACAATACGCACAATAAATCTGACAATATTCACAAATATCGGGCAATATGCCGAAAAAATCTGACTATACACACTATAAATGTGGATACATTATCAATAAAATACTTTATTATACCTATTTAAATGCTGTTTATTAACGCACAGTGCATTTACTTAAACGCATTGTTGTAACAATATACAAACAATTGTTTTTCAATGTTTTCTACTGACATAGATTTTCTTTTTTCTGTTAGAATATTTTTGTAACTAGAAAACGTACGTGTTCCACATTACATGACGTTAAGGGACAGAATTTAAATGAGGCCAATAGGAGAATAACCATGCAGTTCTTTGTCATTTATTCCAGTTAATACTTCACTTACATCACGAATAAATTTAATGCCGAGATTTCTGACCCCTTCTTTTTAAATCTTTGTTACTACAGTTTGTCCAATGACCCTGATATAAACTGTTTTGTAAATTAATCATACAGTCCAAAAGCTATCGAAAATGGCAATCCTCTTTCTCCTAACTTGATTGTCATGGGATACTTTTCAAATTCAACTTTAATAAATGCCAGCTTGCTCTGGAAACCATCGATATTGCATGAATTTTAGACTGTATTCTGGCAGCTTCTCTTTGGTCCATCGTATCCAGTACTTTCTTTACGTCCTGCAACTAGTTGTAGTAGAACAGGGCAGATTTAATCCAAGTTCCCCAGCGGCTAAGAATAGGCTCTGGTGGTAGTCGCTAACCTGGTAGTAACTACGTGTACTGTCTGACACTTGACGGAGCCTTCACAATCATCTTCTTGACTGTGTCAATCATTGCATTTACTTCCGGAGACTGATGGCGTATCTCATCTGTTACTCTATGCAGTCCATGAGCTAGACATGTAGTGCGAACCAAATACTGTAGAGACAATACAGGACACTTCGCGATATATCGAGAAACACTGATGCCAGCTCCATCTAGTGACAGAACCTGGTGAAAACCCATATAGCCTAAGGTCAGTGGTTTGTTGTGTTTGTTTTCTGCTCAATTGATCGTCTTTCTGGAAAATTTCTGAAAAACGTATTTCACAATACTTTTCTTGGCATCCTTCCTAATGGCAGGAAGAATTTGTACAGTTTTTGGCTGTTTTAATTATGAAATAGAAAAGAACTCGCGTTCGTTCTTCACGTTTTCGCGTGATAAAAACAGGTAAGAATTGAAGAATCTTGAACATTGAGGCTAGTTTATACAATTTGACGACGTCTCTCTGTAATAATATGCTCTAAAAAATATTCTTTCAGATGTGATCAGTGGATTTTAAAATCCAAACGGACGGATTTGGACGAAGTTTACAAGAAGGACGTAGCATCACCACGATTGTGCAAAACCTATAAGATATGTTCTGATCATTTCGTTATAACGTATTTTAGGAACAAATGACAGTTCAGTCAATGGTGAGTTGAATATAAAATGCAAAAGAAAGTTTCAATAGTTTAGTATTTAACAATTTTTTTAACCTTTTTTGATAAAATTCCCTAATTTATTTATTATCCAGGTTTTAACGTAAAGGTTAAAACCTGGACCTGTTCCAACACAGAATCTTTCCAGCATCAGCACACCATCCACTAAAAGAAGCAGTCCCAAGAAGAGAAAAAGAGTTGAAGACGACCCTGAAGAATCGTCAAGCAATGAAGTTCAGGAATGATGCTATGCCAGGTGATTACATGAAAGAGGTGGTGGTGGATGTCGTTACAAAAATAATGGAGAGTGAATTCATTCCTAAGACTGTGGTTTGTGATCAAAGAAGTAACAACATACGAATGAGATCTTTGTTAGATGTCACTGAAGATTGAACTCAATGACAATAAAGTGTACTTTTTATATGATTCTCCACATTTTCTAAAGGCTGTTCGAAATAATTTCCTTAAGTTTGATATTGTGAATGATGATTGTAAGTGTTCCTGGAGTCACATACTTGAATTTTATAACAAAGATGTGACAATGAAACCAAGACTTGCTCCTAAATTAAGTAAGCAATGTGTTGAGTTGGCTCCATTTAGTAATATGCGAGTGTGTTTAGCAACCCATGTGTTTATTCAGTCTGTCGGCACAGGTATTATGACACATGTGCAATTTAATTCAAAGTCATCCGAAGCATTGTCTACTGCCAATTGTATTAAAGCAATGGACACTCTCTTTGATATTTTTAATTCATCCTGCAATAACTCTCCAAAGGATTTCCGTTTTGGTTTAAATGATGAGAGAAAACACTTTTCATATCTAAAGGGCATGCTAGAATATTAAGGAAATTTAACCAACCAGCCTACAACATTTAATTGCTTTAAGGGATAGATCATCAATATTTCAGTGTAGAAAATGTTATGGAGAGCACTGAAAGATGATTTTGGTTTTTACTATCTCCTAAAGAAGACGACTTACACAATATTGTATAGAGAATCTTTTTTCTGTAATTAGAGGAATGTGACATCTAACGCCCACAAGTTTCGGCTGTCATTAAGATTAGCTATGACTAATCAGTTACTGCAGCCATCAGAGGACGGTAATTGTGCCATTAATGAGAGTCACTTTCTAATTAAAAAATTTAAATTGGAGACTACTTGCACATTACCGTTTCCAATTGAATTGTGTAACACAATCATTGTTGAAATGGATAAGACTTAAGATATTCCTGCAAGTTTAGTACAAAAAATGCCGAGTCCTATTTATGTGGCTGGTTATGTAGTACCTTGCCACATGATGGTTGTAAAAATGCGTTATCGAATGTTGATGAAAAGCATAAAATAAGAAACTTGCATATTCTGACTAAGCAGTATGCGAATGCCACTCTTTTCTATCCAAATGAATTATCTACTAGTTGGTTTTCTAAAATTAAGTATATTTTTGATAGACTTTTTAAATTGTTTACGTCACAGTAAACTGGAGGTAAAAAACAATTAATGCAAATCATTAATATTCAGTTGGATAATATTGTATGTGAGGAGTGTATTAATTTGTATGTAAACAAAGGCATTAATGTATTGATACAGTGTTTCTTAAAGAAAGCAAACGAAAAAATTACCAAATGTATCACTGGAAGTGTTAAAGAAAGAAAAATCTTGCATTTGTAAGCATTTTATTCGTGGAATATATAAAACACCTCTTTTGTGCATTGTTATATTCCTTAATTTGAGCCATTTAGTATAATTAAATCACAGAAAAAGTAGATAAAAAAGGGTCTTATTTCATTAGGTCAAGTAAAAAATGTATTTCTTCCGTAAGGATCATATTGACGTTTGGCGCTGAATTACCAGGTTCTGACACTAGGAGCGCTAGTGGGAACTTGTTTCTATCGGTTTGCGTGGCAGAACGGAGAAGTGTCCTGTATTATCTCTATTAGTATTTGGTGTGAACCAATATGAAGTCGACAGACTGCCACTGAGCAAAGCAATTTCTTAGAATTACTGTCTCCCCGGCCTCCCCCACTGTTAGTGATACTCTCACGAAGGACTGAAAATAAAACCTGCTTCTCTTAGAAATCGGCTGCTGAAGAGATAGAGAAAGCGACAGTCTTGAGAAGGACATTAATATCAAAATAAGCATTAATGTGCACGAACTACTTATATATGCACTTATTTGTAATATACGCAAAAATATGCACTATAAAACTTCATATATTCCTTTCTTGTAGTCTGAATCTTATTTTCTTGCAAAAGTCATATCGTTTGCGCACAATAACATGTGCAAATATGGTAACATAACTCTTTTTGTTATAATGAACCAACACCATCTATTCAGACTTTCCGAAATTGTAAGTTCGTGAACTTCAAAGTAGACTTTGAAAGTAAAACTGAATTCTACATAATTTACTCTGATGTATCCTTACATTAATTGCGTGAATTGTTGAAGTCACATAATGAATTCGGGTCGAAAAAAGTACACAGAACGTAAGGGACAGGTTAAGAGAATCGATGAAAGAAGAAACTCGCTTATAAGTAGATAAAGAGTATGCCAACACCGGGAGGCTTGTGGAGAGATTAGAGAGATTACAATAACTTATCTTTGTAAATGCAATGATAGGTCTTGCGATCGAATGTGTGTGCAAAGTTGCAGCTCAAACAACCTGAATTAGTGTATTTCCAACTGAAAATTCAAGATCAGAAAATGAGTATGAAAGAAAATTATTCTTGGGATCTTCCTGTTAAGATTTGTTAATTTTTGGTAAAAGATTATTCTGGCATTGAGGTCAATCCATTTTAAGTGGTCCAACACTGGTTGCTCGAACATCTCAGAAAAATTAATTAAAAATTAATAAATGCCTTTTTAGGCAGCCGTTAGTAAGAGGGGTTCTTTCAGGGCATGCGTGCAATATTAAAGTACCTAGTACTAAAAGTGATACAATCGTCAAGTGTTTAGATAAATCTGTTAATGCCACAATGAAAAAAAGTTACTATTGTCTTACCGTATTAGTTACTGCTGACCTTAATGAAACATTAAGTTACCTATCACGTGAAATAAAATAAAAGGAAAGTAAGCAATGCTTTCTAAAAAATTGTGTATGACACACGTGGTAAAAGTGGTTTTATTTTTCTCTGAGGATTGCGCCACCCAGCCTACGGTCTCATGCTTCAATCATTCCTACTCCAAAACTAAAATGTCACTTTTACCACTCGTATCATAATTATTATGTTAAGTTATTTTAATTATTTTTTTATGTTTCGAACAATACATAAGGGAATTTATGTACATAAATATATTTATACACGTAGGTATGGATTTTTTCTGAGATGATGAGGCGACTAATTTATTTAACTCTGGATCACTTAAACACTCCCTATAATATAAAGTAGGAAGGAAAGTGGCGAGGAAGGCTGACCTGTTGCAGGATGGCCAGGGCGTTGGCGGCGGCAGGGTCGTCGGCCAGCGGCGCCGCCACCGCGCCCAACACGAGGGCGCGCAGCACTCGCACGGGCCCTGCGCCCGCCATCACTGCGCTGCGCAGGCGGCACCCGCCCTCGCCAAGCGGCTCTCTGGCGGGCTAGAAGAATTAGGGAGGATCTTGAAATGTCCGGTAACGTTTTGAGTTGAAATATTTCTCGTGCAACAGTGGGCATAATTTATGTGTAACATCAAAGAGAGAGTCGTTGTATGAATTTTTGTTTTGGTGAATCGTGTATCAGTTTCACACGTGCTTGTCTCTTAAGTGAGGCGAAGGAATCGTCGAACATCTTCGCCTGACGAGCTCTAAGCTGAAGGCACCTCACTCTGTTGCTGATTTCTGCTCAGGTTTGTGGGGTTTGGTAAGATCTCTTTCCTGTCTTCCCTGCGCCTTTTTGTTTTTGTACTTGGGTAGCATTTTCTAAAATTGCCAATTTTGTTGTTGTTTTTTTTTCAAATTTTAAGCAATTATTTAACTTCGCCGCTTTAAAATTATGGGACTCACGTACATTTATAAATTATTTCAAGACATTCACGATGACGGGATTACAGAATTATACTTTGGCATTATCAGTGGTAACATATCTGCAACTCGCGGCGTACGATTAGAGAGAAGTGAGCTCACGGCTCAGGCCCTACTTCACAGATAGGTGGCATTTCCCAACCTAATATGGCGACCTACAAACCAAGGGGTAATCACGTACCAAAAGGGTAACAGATGCCGGTACAGTCCCATAAACGCCCCCTAAACAGAGAGTGTTAAACATGCCTAAAAGCCCGATTTGTCGACGGAGTTCTCTCGGTAAAATGCACTGGCCGTATATCCTACCTGGTTGCATTGCTACTTTTGCTTATTAAGCACACATTAGAAAGGTTAGCGTGAGAACAGATACCGTGTACCAGAGCCCAAAACATTTTTAACTAATGTATAGTTGGGACTCCCCTACTTCATATCTAATAATTACATGCTCAATTCAACGTATTAAAAAGGACTTGTATTCGAACACTGCTTTTCACAATTCACCGTCGTCATTGTCAAAAACACTGATAACACAGACCTGCAAATTTGAAGATCATAAAAGCTTTTTAAAACATTTATACAAATATATAAATTCTTAGGATGCTGACTTCATATCTTAGCTCAGTTATTCCATCACGAACCATTTTTTCACAACGCAATCTGAAGTTTTTAGTTATCAGAAATTACATTATGATGTTTATTAAGGCTGCATAAAAAATAAAATATGTTTTGAAGCAAATAATTCACACAATTTTTATTATACAAGCTATATAAAGGTTTCTGAAAACATTAAGTGTTTTATAATATATTTTTCTTTTCTGTGTGAAGCTGTGTGTATTACTCTTTAGGCCTCGTCACGTGTCCCGGTAGAGGCCTCGTCACGTTTTATCGACCCTGGTATCCTTTTCCATCTCCTTAATATCTTGGTGGAAATGTTATCCTCGCTCACCATGATTTTCCGAAAAGAATTCCAAATGTGCATGCAGTAAGTGAGTCTTGAAGCTCGTCCAACATCCCAAAACTTTAATGTTCTTCAGTATTTTTTTAACAATTATTACGTAATGCGGGTCTTTCATGTGTCCTTGTTAGTTCTTAACCACTCTTTCAAAGGAAATCCAAACTCTTTCTTCAACATTTGTGATCGTTGTGATAAATTTATCTAAAGGCGGCTCCACACATTCGGCATTTTCCAAGTTGCGAGCGACCAATCCCGAACAGCTGATGTCCTCGGCGAATGTTCGCTTCCTTTG